GGAATTCTGGGAGTTGAAGTCCACCTGTCTTAAAGTGCCAAGTTTGAAAAACACTGCATTAAACAAACCAATTTATTGGTTTGAAAAACACTGCTTTAGAGGAGGCAATAATAGAGATGCACAAATACTTATAATCCTATATCAGAAATTATACCTATATCCTCTCTTCTTTCTAGCTCTTCCACATATCTATCTGATCCATTTGTTACCCTTTCAGGTCGCACCAGTCTCCTTGTATTAACTTTAAAAATATTTGCAGTTGGGAATAAGGATTAAGAAGATGTCAAGAAGCATTTGGAACAGTGTTTCTCAACCATGGCAACTTTAAGATGTCTGGACTTCAACTCCCAGAATTCCCCAGCCAGCCAGAATTCTGGGAGTTGAAGTCCAGAAATCTTAAAATTGCCACCGTTGAGAAACACTGATTTGGAAGGAATAAGGGTGCAATCCCAGTTTTTAAAGAAGAAGTTTAAATATAATATGTTTACCTGCTAGACTTAAAGTGTTGAGAACAAACTGAGTACCATATAAAATGGTGAAACAATGTTCCTCTTTTTGACGCGTGGCCTTTCCGCGCTCAAAATCCTTTGCATTTTTCCCCGGTCGGATTTCCTTTATTTCCATTAAATCCACTGCAAAGAAAAATGAAAGAAATCCAAAATGTAAAGGTTATTTCAACATAAACCCATTGCTACAGGATGGCGATTGTATGATGTTTCATAAGCAGACTGAAGTGTATAATTGATATAGCAAACTCATTTGGGGCTGTAGCAACAGCACAAAAACATTACCATCTAACAAACAAAAAACTAGAACAAGTTAATTGGTAGTAATTCTCACTTGGTCACTAGGGTGCAACTAGAAGTTTGCATTTGTTGTTAAGGATCGTTTTCATACCTGCAACTCAGAGCGTCTTCCCAGAATCACTCAACCATCATTGAAGTGATATAAAGCCTATCCTCATTATTATTTTGGCACAAGATGGTTGAATGACTCTAGAAGTCCTCTCTGAGATGCCACCAGTCTGCTGGAATAGCCTTCATGCTGAAATAGAGACCACCCCAACCCTGCTGGCCTTCTGAAAGGCCACGAGGAGCTGGTGCTGGGGCCAGGATGTTAATGGAGCTCTGGTGTGGGTGTGAGGGAGTCTGGATGTGTTAGCATGGAGAGTTCTTAGGGGGCAATCTAGTTTTTGACTGTTTGTAAGTCTGAATTTTGTTTTTATCTTTGTTTGGTGTCCAGAGTTCCTATGATGGATGGATAGCTATATAAATTTGTTTAATAAGTAAACAAGCAAACAAGCAAGCAAACAAGCAGCAATAAGTAAGTCACTAGGTGTAATGGTACGTGAGAATGACCTTGGGAGACAGGAGGAAGAGCCACAGATTAGGCAACAGTAGGACAAGCAGCAGCTGAGCCCGTAGAATTAATGGGGCATGGCAAATGTCTCAGAAGGGACCCCCCCCCTAGTTTCTTGGACTGCAAAGGTGAAGGGAGAGAGATGGACTTTCAGACTTGCAAGATTCTGTTAATGTAACCTTACGTTAAAATTAGAGCTAGTACTTCTGGTTGTGCTTTTTGTCTGGGCTACCTCGCAAGGCTGCCACCATGCTAGATGTGACCAAGAGGCACAAGTATCATGGATGTCTATCTCTGCACCTTTCAAAAAGCATCAATTTGATCACAGGTAGTCCTTTTGCAGTAGCCCTGTTCCAATAAACCAGGGAGTTCATTCTCATCCACCAGCTATTCTACATCTCAAAAAACCAGTATTTGCAAACACAAAAGAGCTTTTTCTAACAGACGGTGACGATTGCTACTCCAACAAGGGCAAACAGGTCACAGCATTAGAAGAAAGGCTGAAGCTTCAACCTTGCTAAGTGATGTTAAAAAGGGTGGCAACTCATCATAGTCCCCCCAAATTAGCTGAATCAAACCCCACCGATATATTTACCAGTTAAGCGAAGGGCAATAATGCTTTCATGTCTGACTAAAAACCTTTTCATTTGAGTAAATTACATTCAGGTAATCTTGTTTTCATTTGGAACAACTCTTCATGAACTTCTTCTAAAGACGTTCTTTGAAGTGGAGACCATATATAGTGAAATGACCCTTGTAGGACTGATGCTTCTGTGAAGATCTCGGTGTTCAAAATGATCCTTGGCCTGATAGTGGCCAAGGGAGGCATCTGCTTTGTCTGGTTTATATTTTTCAAAGGTTTTGGGGGGGTTTTCCCCCATAAAAAATAAATGGGAAGTTAACATGCTGTAAGCAAAGCACCAGTTTCAAGTATCAAGTTTATTTCCAACCATGCTTCTGAGCCAATATCGACCACATGCACATTCTTAGAAAATGGGGAGTGGTTGCAACCCAGCGTTTTGTCTGAAAGTGTGCTCAATTTTTCCTTTTTCATTTGAGAATTGTGGCTCTATCTTCCCTGCCTGTGTTTGAAAATGCTTCCTCATGCTCAGGTTTTATGAACACAATTATGCTGCATGGAACACAAGGGAGGAAAAAAATCAACTCTATCTGAAACGCAAGTAATGTGCATTCTTTTGATAAAACACTGACTCAAAAAGAGAGGAAGTGGTTTCATTCCACTATGCAAACTGGATGTAAGAACAGACAGATCTTCCTGCAGGTCAAGGGTTAGAGTTTGAGCAGCAATCAATAAAAGAATATTTCAGTCTGTAATCTGAATTACCTTCCATGCTGTTTACATGATATGGTCATAAGCAATTTACTGATAGTAAACAAGTGTTATGTGTTTGTGTGTGTATAAGTATACAAATGCACATGCACGCTCACACAAAAATACATACATCCATGGATGGATGTATATAAAAACCCCTTGTCAACTTTTAATGGGAAATCTGCAAACTGTAATACTGGGATACTGCTGATATTATGAAGAGGAGAAGGGAGAAGACAAATACCTGTTTGCAATGCTGATCTCCTTTTTTCTAGACCAGTGTTATTCAAACTTGGCAACTTTAAGATGCATGGACTTCAACTCCCAGAGTTGAAGTCCACCCATCTTAAAGTTGCCAAGTTTGAAAAACACTGCTCTAGACCCTCCTCCTTATGTCAGAAATAAATGGAATAAGATCAAGTTGCTACCTCTGGGAAAATTCGGGTGACGGTGGAAGACCTTTGTGTATAGGAAGCAAACTGTGTTTCCCTTGGAGCGTCTTCTAGAACAGAAGTTCAACACTCTTAATTTCAGAGATGCCAGTTAATGGAAGGGTCTTTTCCAGTAGCCAAATTGAAGCACTCTCCATTTATCCATGCATTGAAGAGAACACTACACTAGCATGATATTTGCTGTCCTTCATTGTTGATCCCTAGCCTGTCTCTATTGTATTTATTCTGAGTCAGTGTCAAGTGATATTCTCCTGATTACGTGCACTCAGGGTAAGATGACTGATTCCTCCATTGTCCTCTCTATCTTAACTGGAGGACAGGATATCAAAATGACAAATTAATTTTGATGTCAGCGATTGCGAAAGGATGTGTACCAGGGAAACAAAAACCATTCTGATTTAATCTCTGTGTTAATGGAATATGAGCTGTTAATGATTAACAACAACACGAAAAGGGATCAAATGATTGTGGTGCATATGTCAGGATAAATACTGGCCCAATATGCAACTCATGAAAATGAAAAAAATATCCATGTTTAAGAATCCTTAAGAATTTGAAAATAAAACTGCTACCACTACGAATATCCTTCGTACCTCAAAAAAGATATTGGACCGGTGAAAAGCTTGCAGAAGAGTTAGAACAACTTACCAATAGGGAATGTTAGGACTCTGAAGCTTATACAAAAAGGCTAAGTAAACAGAGGGGCATGTACAAAATTCTGTATGGTGTGGAAAAAGTGGATGGGATAGGATACTTCCATCTCTTGTGTAATATAGAAGTTCATCCAAAAAACCTAAAGGATAGGAGATGCAGCAGAAGAGATTAACTTCTTCTGGCAGTAATCAGTTCAAACTACAGACTTCACAAGCAAGCAATGTACCAATGGCCATAGTTTGGACTACTTTTGGAAAGAATTAGACAAACTCATGAAAAACAAAGATAAGAATAACTTAGAAGCCAGAGGACTATTTTTTGTTTGTGGATATCCTACAAAGACACATAAAATGCCATTCAGTCATCTAGGAAATCATCTTGTCCCACTCTCTCTGTCAAGGGATAAGAAAGTTCAAGAATATCTCTGCCTGGTTAAATTCATGAGGAAGGAGAAAGAGCAATGGAAATTTAAGATATCCATGTAAACGTATCTTGGTCTTAGTTAACAGAAGGCACAATTAATTCTGCATTTGTGGTCTGATCCAAGCTTTTCTTATGTTTTTAAAATATGTTCATAACAGGGCCTGTCCTAACTCCAGAAATGTCTCCAAAAACCCCAAGCACCAATACAATAGCCACCATTACTACTACTGTGCCTAGAAAGTCTGTACAGAAAGTCTGTAGAAACAGGGAGGGGATATACACCAAATCTCTTACAATACCCCTTTCCATCTCCAAGCATCTCCAGACTTGAGCATTTACGTAAAAGGCAAAGCAGGGAGGTAGAATGGGTTCATTAGATGTTTATTTGTAAAGGAAAATTGGCCCAACGTTCAATGATTAACAAGGAGAAAGGAAGGGGAAGGAGAAAAATTGGCTCAAGATATAGCTGAGGAATTTACATTAAGACTATAAATGAGAAGAGGGTGTAGGCATTCAAATTAGTCTCTACCCATTTTTTTCTCCTTTATAGCATTTAGGGAAAAGCCTAAGTGCCACACAGAGTCAATATTGATTGCAGCAAGATATAAACACTATTAAATAAATAAAACAGGTGCAAACTGAAACAAAGGATGGCTGATTCCATATTTTGGAAAATACAAAAGACAGCTATTGTCCGAACTCTTTCCATCCGTATGCAAAATACAGGGGGAAAACAGAAGAACTGAATGCAAATATAGACAATGGGATTTTGTTCTTTTTGGAACGTCAACATGACCAGTATTTTCACTAATCAGCCTCTGATATGAGAAACAGAAAATTTAAAAAGCCATTGTTTCTTTTGCAAATTTGCCTCACTGACCCTAAACGGTGAAACAATAGCTTAATTTTTGTTTCACCTTGCTTGGCATTGTGCTACATATCGCCGAAAATGCAGCTGAGAATTTAGTACATCAGTCTGAAAAAGCTTTAAGGTCCGAGGATCAGCTTCATTATTTTTGCATATCTTACTCCAACTCAGTAAATTAAAAGCTAAAAGGGATACATCTCTAAACCATAGACATTTGGCTGGAGGAATTTCACAGATCGCAAATACGTTCCACAGCTGTAATTTTTCTATCATACTTTAAAATTGAAGATCTTTTTTTTTTTTTTTGGCTTTACTAAATTTTTATATTTATTGATTCCATGGTCTTCATCTGCATGGAATCAGGAATTTCACAGATCGCAAATACGTTCCACAGCTGTAATTTTTCTATCATACTTTAAAATTGGAATTTCACAGATCGCAAATACGTTCCACAGCTGTAATTTTTCTATCATACTTTAAAATTGAAGATTTTTTTTTTTTTTTGGCTTTACTAAATATTTATATTTATTGATTCCATGGTCT